GGAGGGAGGGAGGGAGGGAGGGAGAGAGGGAGACATCATCACAAATCAGAGGCTTTTCTGTTCTGCTGGTGCTGAGTCTTGGCTCAGGACCACTCTACCATGGAGCCACATCCAGAGCTCCCTTTACCACCCCTCAGACTGGGAATCAAACTTGGGCCCTTCTGCTTGCCAGGCTACATCCTGAACTACATCCCCTATGCCCCCTTTCTAAAAAAATTTGAGACAGGGTTTCAGTAAGCTGTCCAGGCTGTCTCAGCTCCCAAGTAGCTGGGATTACAGGCACATGTCATCACACGCAAAACAATTTCACGTTCCCTAGGGCACTCATCCCAGGGTCAGTCCCACAGCACACGAGAATAATCCCTGGGTTATGGCTCTGGAGGCTGCGGTCAGGTGTGACTGCCAGCACCCTTCCCCTTCCTGGCTGGGCAGGTGTCTCCCGAGGCTCTCAGAAATGTGTCAGAGAGCAGAGGGCAGATTGTCACTTCAAATACACAGGCGTCCTTGTCCTGCCACCCTTCTTGTGGAAGGCGAGGGATCCTGTGACAAAATCCAGGCCGAGCACCTCCATATGGACGCAGGATCACACAAGTGGTGCTGGGCAGGCAGCGGGGGACTCACAGGGATAGCCTTTGCACAGCACTTCGATGGGAGTGGACATTTTCTTCTCACTGATCCTCTCGTACTTCTGCCTCTTGGTGGCAGCCTTCAGCCCCTGCCAGGGGAGAGAGCCCAGGTTGAAGTACATCAGCACGTACCCCAGAGACTCCAAGTCGTCCCTTCGAGATTGTTCTGGAAAGAAAAGGCAAACATGTGAAGGACGGTGGCGTACATGTGTATGGATAAAAGCAAAAGACCCAGCATACACGATGATGGAACAAATTTTAGAATCCACTCAGACTACTACTTTGCCAGCTGTCCCTCCTGTCTATGGAGGAAATCCCCAAACACCCTGACAACAACAGCAGCGACTCAGATAACCACTGGAGGGAGCTAGGCTTGTCTGCCCTGGCACAGCAGTCGCTGAAGCCAGCCTGACTGCTACAAAGGTGGGACAACACAGCTTCCAGACCCACGGGCCCAAGCACCCTGCATGGTCACAACCCTAAGGCCACCCAAGGAGCCACCCTCTCCCCAAGCTAAGGGACAGACATGCCCAAAGGCAGCCAGGTGAGCACCCCACACCCAGGGCTCACCGATTCCGAGGTGTGTGTTGATGGAGGCATACCGCGCCGTGCCTGTGAGGTTCTTATTCTCTCGATAGGGGATGTGCTGGTGGGTCCTTGCGTCCCGGTACTTCTTGGCCAGCCCAAAGTCAATGATATAGACCAGGTTGCCCTTCTTCCCCAGCCCCATGAGGAAGTTATCTGGTTTCACATCTCGGTGGATGAAGTTTTTTGAATGAATGTATTCAATACGACTAATCTATAAGCAGAGAAGCAATGGCAAGAAACTCAATTCCAGAGCGGCACTTGGTTAAACAAACCCCTGCTCTCTGTGTAGCAACAGGCACAGTAACAGAAAAGCAACTGAGTAACTTGCCCCATCAGGTCAACTAGTGTGTGCCAAGCTCCTGTGCTACTCGGCACCTGAGAGGGGAGTGCTTACCATCTGGTCGGCAAGCAGCAGAACAGTTTTGAGACTGAACTTCCTGGAGCAGAAGTTGAAGAGGTCTTCCAGGCTCGGGCCCAACAGCTCCATCACCATGACGTTGTAGTCCCCTTCGGCTCCACACCATCTGATGGTGGGGATGCCCACTGGACAAGAAACCAAACAGAGCAGTTCAGCCCAGGCCACCGCCTCAGCTTGCCTCCACCCAACGGACACAGGCAGGTGCAGTGGGATGGGACTGTGGGGGTTGGAGACCCAGTGATGCCCACCCCAAGGACCCATAGCTGGAATCAGGCTGCACACGTTAGCAGATGACTTGGAGCAGGCTCTAATGAGGGAGTCCAGCCAGTAATGGTGGGAAGCGAGACAGGATCTGAGCCAACTTTACAACCCAGGAAAGGCATGTGGACAAGGTAGCAGCTCAGGTGGACAGGGCCAGGAGGGTCTGGCAAACACCAAAGCTGCACTGGAAAGAGAGACCCAGAAAAGAAAGCAGCTACCATGGGTTGGGTAAGAAAGAAAAAAAAAAAAACCCCACTCTTTATTCATGCTGATGTTGATAGAGAAAAAAGCAAAAGCAGTGAAATTTATCCAGTAAGCAGGTGCCGTGGCTTGTATCTAGTTGTACCCCCAAAGCCTCATGTGCTCACAGGTGAGGAGTTTCAAAGGTAGCTGGACCAGGGCTGTGACTGTGGATTAACTGTGCTACTGGGTTTAAGGGTAGGGTTTAAGGGTATAACTAATGCAAGCTCCATCCTGGGTATGGGTAGCACTGATCAATCAGCTTGTAGCCTGGACGGAATATAAAGGACAGAAAGAAGGCAGGTTAGCAGCTGCCACCACCTCTGCCTGCCATGTCATGAACTGTTTCTCTTCTGCGATGCCACTCCGCCATGCCACCCTGCTCTGGAACCATCTGACTATGGACTGAAACCTCTACAAACTGTGAGCCAGAATAAACTTTTCCCCCTTTCAACTTGCAGGTGTGGGGTATTTTGTCCCAGTAACGAAAATAGTAAGACACCAGGCTTCAAACAGACTACATCAATGGGAATGAGAATAAACACAGGATAAATGTAAAGGAAAGGAATATACGAGCTAGAACCTCAAATGAGGGGAGAAATTTAAAGATGTCTCTGAGATAGCAGATCTGAAGACACAAAACAAAACAATTCCACAATCCAACTTTTGAAAAACGAGGCAACACGAAATACTTAGGAATAGGCAATAGTCACAAAAACGTGCTCCGGTCTCTTAAGACTATGTGCTCATGAAGACCATTTCCAGAGTGCACACTGCAGCCGCCCTCAGGAGCCAAAATCCCAACACTGCTGAACAAGTGAGCTGTGTGCAGCGCCTCTGTGCACACTGCCTGCTGAGCGCCCACCCACTAGGCCACAATGGTGACCATTCAGAGACGAGTGCACACCTGCAGCCCCAAAGCTCCTTACTGATCACCAAGCACCAGCACTGCAAGTAAACCTGAATACTGAGGTTCTAGCTCAGAAAAAACAATTAACATCTTTTGTCTTAAAAGAAAACAGGTGTGGCACAGGTTCGCTACCACTGAGCTAGACCCTCCTCACACACACACAGGAAGGAGCTCCTTGCCTTGGGAGTGAGCTGAAGGCCTCCGTCCTTCGGTGGCGAGACAACTCAAGGTTTTAGTTCAGCCTTATGGTGAGTTTTAATGCCAATAGGGAAGTCTTCTAGGAGAATACATGCATGAGGTAACGGAGGCCTGGAACCCATGATGGGACAATCAGATAGCAGCTTCTCTGTCCCTGTCTTGCCTCACCAGGTAGTCACTATCCACAGCCGCTGCCTCGCATCTCCTCATAGGGAGGACAGGTGTGCCTGCTGCAGAAGACCCCATCCACAGCCTAGCCCTGTTGCCTGGACAGTGTGGGCTTGCTTTAAACGGCACTGCTGAGCATGGTCTTACGAAGTCTAGTATGAATATTCTTACACGTGCAATTCTTTTTCTATCTTTTTTCCTTCTTTGGCTACATACTTGAAAGTCTCTGAGTTGCAGAATACAAATTACTCAACTACAAGAGATACACAAGATAAAATCAAACTGGTTTCAAAGGTGGACAAAAGGCCAAAGCCACCCGCATTGCAAGTACCACCCGAGACTGAGCAGCATGGACCTCAGTCAGTGTCCTCACATGTAAGCTGAGGCCACACCTGCTTTATCTCTGACATGCCTATGCATGTTCTTTTGCTAATTTTTTGTCTGGTATGTTTTTCCTATTTACAGTAGCTCTTCATAAATTTTAGACACTGAATGATGGTTGGTTTTATGAGAGGCAAAGATCTTCTTAGTATTAAAGTATTAAATCCAGGGCTGGGGATTTAGCTCAGCGGTTTGGTGGCCTGCCTTGCAAGCGCAAAGACCCGATTTCAATCCCTGGTACTCCCCCACCAAATAAAGTATTAAATCCTTTCTGGCCTTGGAGTCAGAAGGAGTATTTTCTTGTGAAAATGTAGAAGTCACTTTTACTTCTAATAGAGAGAGTAGCAAGGACCCAATCTACCCTCATACTTGAAAGTAACAAAAGGGGGAAAACCCGTAAAAGGTTGCTCCTCACCCTGATATTGGAGATCATCACATTGAGGGCCTCGCTCATGTTAGGCACATGTCCTACTACAGGACTATATCCTGAGCTCCCTTAAAAAAATTTTTTTGAGATAGTCTTGCTAAGCTGACCAAGGCTGGGTTGAATTTGCAATCCTCCAGCCTCAGCCTTCTGAGTAGCTGGGGTCACAGGTGCCCAGCTTTGGAACGATGGTCTCTAAGGCATAGGACCTTAAGCAGATGACACTGATGTCCTACTGAAAAGCTGAACCCCTCCCCTAGCAACTGGCTCCTGCCTGAGTGTCATCACAAATGCAAGAAACAAGCAGACCAATGTAACTTGACTTCATTCCAGAATACAGCTGAGGAAGGAGCTGAGCAACAAACCCAGCCCACAGGAGCACAAAATTTGGTTATAAAACATGAAGAGAAAGAGAAAATATCATCAATTCACAGTAAGAAATCAAGCAATCAAAATTGACCCAGATGTTAGAATGGAAAAGGGTATTAAAAATTCTAATAGATGGGTGTGGCAGGGCATGCTGAGGCAGGAGGATCGCCTCCCGTTGAAGGCCAGCCTGAACTACATAGGGAGATCGTGTTTCAAAAAAAAAAAAAAAAAAAAAAAACAAGGGCTGGAGATTTGGCTCAGGGGTTCCACCACCTGCCTTGCAAGCACAAGGACCAGAGTTCAACCCCCAGTACCAAAAAATAAATAAATAAAGCATAAAAAAAAAACCAACCCCAAAACAAAAGAGCTCTTATTGCCTTTGCTACCTTGTGCACACCACGTTTCTCCTCTCCAATGCCTATTTGCCATCCCTGCCTTGGAGTCAGCTAACTATGAACTGAAACCTCTATGAACCAAGGCCAAGCTGCCCCTGAAGGTTATTCCTCAACACTTCCGTAGCAACAGCAACAAGTGGCAGTTTCAGCTGTTCGACAGGATATGAACACACAGAAGTCACTGGAAATCACAGCAGTTGGATAGTAATGTGACTATGCCAAAATTTGAGGATGAAGAAAGTTGGAAAAAATTCTGAGAAAGGTTATATGCTGAAGGGGCTGTTGGGCCAGGTATAAAGGAAGTCCTGGAATTGATCATGTACAAACTGGATTTCTTCCCTTGCTTAGTACTGTTAGCAGAATGAATCAGGCAATGGTAACTAGTGTCTTGGGATATCTGAGTAATTGGTCTGGAGAAAGACTACTCTCAACTTGAGAAGATGGTCTTAAGCTTTCTTGGTTTGTCTCAAGGAACCTTCACTGCCCGAAGCTCACTCCCTCATTTGGCTCTGAAGTAAGGCTCTCAGTGGATACCGAAGATGATGAGGGTTCCAGCTCTGAATTTATCAATCTGCGTGGTTAGCAGGTACTTTGAGCAGCATGACCTAGCTGATGAGCCACTGTGATGCTGCTTTGACACAGGTGTTCCTGCTGAAGGCAGCCCAAGTCTGTGCATGTGCAGTGCTGTTCATGTACAGACTGTGTTTGCTTCAATACTATGTGAATGACTCAAGTTTCTGCTCAGAATATAGACTGAACTTAATGTCTGAAATATCTGTGGGAAAAATACCACCTGGTTTGAATCAAATTCGGCAGTCACAGCATTTAAAATAAAGTGAGTCCCATTTATTGATGAAGATCCCTGTATAGAAAATGTATGATGAAAATTTTGTTGAAAATGTGTTTTGGACAGTAAACTTTTATTTGGCTCTCGGACAAAAGCAAATTGATGTTCTTAGGAGGAAAAATTATATAATACACTATAAGTGCATTGAAGAAAGTTAAAGAATGGGAGATTAAAAAAAAGAGAAGGGGAGAAGGAGAACCACGTCTGCTCCCGACCCAGCAGCCATCGCTCAAGCGCCGGGAAGGTAGCCACGCACACGCCCCTGAACCCCCATAAGCTCCCCCCGCTGCACTCTCAGACCTCCTGATTGTGCCAGTCTTTGGACCCACTCTGCAAAGACAGAGGTGGTCATCAAGGGTATTTTTCTGAGTTCCCAACTTTGAACATCTTTAAAGAAAGGGCATGGGAAACATGTAGTAGAACGTTGTGGAGTTCAACCATTCAGAAGGATGGGGAACTCAATCTGGGCCTTGCAGCCCGAGGTCAGTCAGCATCATGGGGTTCAGCCATCAGCTAACTGAGATCAGGGTCTTGCATCCTCGCTCTGTCTGAGCCACTAAATGGTAAATATACTATATTGAAAAGTTTGTTCACTGCAGACATGTTCTGGACTGCTTCTTGATTTCAATTTAATTCAAATGATTTAAGGGTGATAGACTAGTGACTACCACAGGTGGTCAGTGTCCAAGTTGTGCTTGATCTTAATGTGTTGCTGATTGTATCAGTTGGGGTAAAGCATTGCCTTTGATTTGATGAGCTGTTTTCTCTGATGTTATGAAGATGAGAATGTCTGTGGGTCGTTAGAGACACAGAAGCTAGGGTGCAAATGTATCAGGAAGATTTGGGTGATAATCCAGAGATTAAACCAAGGACAGTC